AGGGGGGGACGTGGGGCCGGGGGGGGGGGGGGGGGGGTGGGGGGGGGCCCCAGGCAGCATGGACGTGCAGTTGTAGCTGTGTGTGAACATCCCTGTGTGTGTGTGTGGGTGGGGGGGTCGGTGGGGGGGGCAGGACAGTGATGCATGCCAGTGTACTCTTTGAGGACCTTGACCCTCATTTCCTCAATGTGAAACAGAACAAACTCTCCCAGAGAGTGAGGGCCGATTCAATCACACAAAGAAATACACAACGTACTGTTTTCATATTGGTTCCTTTGTTTTGGCCGTTCAGTTCCAGGAGAGTTTGTCTGAGACCGAGGGGAGGATGTTGAACGTGGAGGTGTGAGTCTGTGCGTCTGCGTGATTAGCACCGTGAATCTGTGAATCTGTGCGTGTGTGTGTGTGTGTGTGTGTGTGCAGGGCGCTCTCAGCCCTGGAGAGCATGTTGAGTGTGGTTGGAGGGGGAACCAGACTAGATTTTTGGACGCTGTGCTGTATGGACCAGATGGTGCACTATACTCCAGTCTGGCAGTCCAACTGCTCACTGTACACACACACACACACTCACACTCACACTCACACACTCTTACTTGCGTCTGTTGTGGTGTGTGTGTGTGTGTGTGTGGTCTGAACCTTCACCTGACTCCGTCTTCTTCCTGCTGCAGCCGATCGTCTACGAAGGCCAGGACAAGAACCCAGAGATGTGTCGGGTTCTGTTGACCCACGAGATCATGTGCAGGTGAGACGGAACCTATGGACACACACACACACACACACACACACCGACACACACACATACAGAGGTCGTGTGTTTTTAATGTAGTTCCTGCCGTGGCCTAGATCAAGATAAATCTTTCTGTCAGCCTCAGAGTGTGTGTGAGCGTAAAGAGGGGCAAACACACGGCAGCGTCGGTAAATTACAACAGAAATCTTACAGTTTCCTTAAAGTGGGTTGGGGAGATGAGCTCTGGCCTATTTTTGTGCGTGCGTGTGTGTGTGTGTGTGTGTGTGTGTGTGTGTGTGCATCCTTCTCATGTTCAGCTAATTAGGACAAGGAAAAGCTCATTACTCAGAGCCTTCCTCCTCAGTCGCTGGAACACAGGCCGTTTGCTGTGGCCTGACAGTGAGTTATGTTCAGAGTGGGACAGACTCGAATTACAAATAAAATACTGACACACACATTCACATGCTCTCTCTCTCACTCTCTCTCTCTCTCGTGCACACGCCCGTGCACGCTGAACAGTAGTAAAGGCTACAATCAATGGAGATTCATGTGTTGGTGACCGTCCCTCAAAGACACACAGGGTCTGGAGCAAAGAGTGGGCAGA